CAATACGGAATTAAAATTCACTAAGTTGTGAAGTAAGTCATAAACTAGTACCACCAAATTATAAAAACAACTATGAACCTGTCGAGTTTATTGACACAATCATCCACGCAGCGTATATACGGTAGACCAGTGCAATGAACAGAACGAGTAAAAGTGTATGTGATCGGTAGCTCCCTTTCCAGGGCTGGAAAAAAATAATATACTACAGGTCTGGACAGCGCTTTGCGTTTACCGCGTAACAGTAACGAAATAAGTATGCTTTAACCGCTCGCGCATGACAAACCTTTCGGTAAAAGACAAGGCAGTTTTCAGACCCCAGTTGTAAAGGCATAGTAAGATTTGAATCGATTTAAGCGAGATGTTTTTTGAAAAGTTAAAGGAAAAAATTAACTGGCCTTACCGACTTCTTCGTTTGTGTGGTCACGATTGCCAGAGTAAGCACGCGCTGAATAAGCCATTACATTGGTACGGAGCAAAAGAATTAGCAATAGCTCGTATGGCCTTTGTTTCGGTATTCATTACAAAGGAAAGACCACGCAGACTTCAAGCAACTGAAAATGTTTCACTTCACGCTCTTCACCGGTAATATCACACAGATCTATGTTTCGAGTTCGACTGGAAGTAAAATATCCCGAGAGCCATAGCCATTATTCAGCCACTTTGCTCAGTATTTGTGAATCTCTCAGTAACTGATTAGCTCTTTATGTATTGAGAATAAGTAGCTGACATTGTTACACATTTGTAATCAGATTGAAATAAGGCAAATACAACAAACGTGAGCGATAAAAAAGGAACTACATAAAATTAAGCGTATACAAAGATTGCCTTTATTCTAAATAATTGCGTTCGTACACAATGATATTCTTAACACAAACGACGGCTATACAGCAATTTCACGGACTTAACTTTTTTGTACTTACGTATTTGTATGTGTAATCAAATGGTGACGAGTGAAATTAAGGAATAATTTCACGCGCGTTTTGTCCAAATCCGCAAGTGAAATTATTCCCTAATTTCACGAGTATACCATTTGATTACCTATTAATATCATGAGTGATGAATTAGTATATGTAATAGGACTACATGCTGTCCAATTTGGAAATAATTGGATGGAAAAAATTCCGAGGACAGCCAAAATTTGTCTGTCAGAGGAATTTTTTGAAATTCAATTATTTCCAAATTGGACAAGCATGTATTCCTCTTACTTATTAATTATATAGCTGGTTAGTTAATCCAGATTTTTAGGGTAACACAGACGCGAAATATTGTACACTCGAACCGTTTGTGGTTGAAACAGAAACACAGTACAAGATCTAAAAAAGGTTTATTCTTATGGTGTCATTCAACTTATTCTTTACAATAATAAACAAACGTAGAACTAGTATTGCTCTTTCGTACTTTGGCATTTTGTTGCCAATTAAAATTTTGAAAGCTCCTGCAATGATCTGAATGATACGGTGCTACAGGTGAAAACCGCAATTTCGAGTACAAAGAAGGCAAAGCAACCACGCAAATACTTAATTTAAATACAAAAACTGTTGAAAATAAACATTTCATTCATTGCCTTAAACGGCTCCGCAGACTTTGTTCGTTTGTTTCTGTTATGCCAACACTGTTGTCTAAACACAAGTATCAGTGTTTTCTTATTATTGTCCAAAGATTCAGTGCTTGCGCATTTTCAAGAATTTATGCGTTGATTGTTTCCGATACAAACTTTCATCACTTTGGTCATACATTTTCCTTTTAAATGGCCCAGACAAGAAGCCAAAACAAAACAGCAGGAAAACAAAACGACCTTCACAGCAACAAGAAGGCAAGAGTGTTCGCCGACGAATCGCCGTCAGCCAACGAGACTTTTTTTTTGGCGAGTTGTCAAAGGGACTTTGCGCTGATTGGCTAGTTTTCATTGCCTATTGTATTTTCTGTCATATGATTGGCTCAGACCGGCTGTCCTATTTTTTTTAAAATTGGACAGTTTGCCTATTTGTAAAGGAAAGCCCTATCTGAAACTATCCAAATTAATCCTTAATTGGACAGTTCGTAAAAACTAAAGGATATAATAGCTTTGCTGGCAATATCGGATTAACTAACAGCTATGTAATTAAAAGGCGAAAAAATGTTGATCATTTCGCCTAGTACGTCAACATTACACTTTCAAGTAGCCACGGCTTTTAGCACAGTCCCTTTTAGCATAACGCCTTTGTAGGTTGTGGTCGATCGCCTCTTGAAAAGGCAACTCGCTGATTATTCCTGCTCCTTTGAAACACGTCATTATTTTGTAGTTGTTGCAGTTTAAGAAAGCGACGTAGCCCTCTATAGATAGCCAAGATAGCTACCAAAACCTGTTTCATCACAATGTGTAGTACTACGTGAATACATGCCATGGGAAAGTTCGCCCAAGACACGTAAATAAATGCTTGAGTTGAAGAAAAGGCGGGAGAACCCTGATAACCAGATCGCAGGTTTTAGTGCCCCCAAAGGAAGTTGATTATTATAACAAAGCAATATTCAAATAGCCTTTTACTCATCTTTTGGAAATGGATTTGATACTTTTGAGGAGATAAACTATCGAAAGATACTGTGAAATAAAATAAAGTAAAAAAAAAGCTTTCTTATATACAGTCTTGTCTAACCAAACATAAGTAAATCCATGGGGCTGTAATTTTTTGAGGCAGGTTTAGCATGCTAAATGTTCACTAATAACATCTGTGCGCAATTTGTGAAACTTTTAAAACAGTTAAATTACATTCACCCGCTACGGATGTTACATGTACTAACAGTTTAATTATTTATTAAACAAAAAATGGCAGTTGTTTTTCTTGCCATGGTTGTAGCCTTATTAATGCCTTAGATACCCTAAAAGAATCCTTATCACGCGGCCTGTAGATTACTTTATTGTTTAGGGATATACAATTTTAGATATTGGGTATTTAACATCTTAGCCTTGGGCAATTTTTTTTTTTCAGCAGCCTTGCTTGCCCCTTGGCATGTCTCTGTCATTGTTACAGCGCATGCTTTTATTGCTGATTATGGAGTTTGACGAAATACTGTGAAATCGCTTAACGTCTCCCTAATTCACTTAGCCACCCGAACCACTATTAACAGAGACTAAAGGTCTTAATGTAGGCCTCAGTGTGTATTTCTTCTTACCCTCGTCTAGGAACCAAGTCCTTCCATTTAAAAAGCAACTCACTGAAGAACAAACGATACTTTCCAAATCTTTTTTCAAAAACGATGGGATCATCATCTGAGACTCTCCAGCATTCTAATGAATAACCTTGAAATAGCCAGTAAGTTATCCTACAGATGTTGTGATGCGGGTCCTGCATGATCTTCTCAATTCCTTTTTCATAAGCATCAGCTCGTTTCATCCAATCTTGAGTAAAGATGAGTTTACCATTTTTTGGACAGTAACCTCCCCAAAGACTAGGATCCTGTAAACAGGAGCAAACAATTAGTGTACCTGTGTCTTATAAATAATTGAGAAAACTAGCCCTCCACTTGGAGGTTACGAAAGAGAAAACCAGTTGAGACGCTTCGGGTGCATTTGAAAACAAACGTTCTCTCGGTTTGCCTGAAGTATACACAGCCATAAGTTAAAAGAAATATAATGATATTCATCGCAGTAATGACATGCTAATGAGTATTATCATTTATAACATTTCTTAAATGTAGGCATCCACCCTTCATAAATATCAGTTCCACCGCCCGAGAAGATGTTATTAGCATGATGCATGTGAAGCCTACTTGACCCTAAAAGAGTACCAATGAGGGTCTACGAGAAACATAATGTCGCCCTACACAGGATAGTGGCCGGTTTATTTGCATTCTTAGAAACGGCTGAGGTCTGCTTTCGTGAGAGATGTATGTAATAGAGACTAGTAGTAAAGAAATCAGACAAAATCTACAACTTAAGCACCTTCAACTTAGGAGTCTCGAACAAAAATCCCCCCTTTCTTCATCACGCGCTTACATCACCACCGGTTTTAGCAATAAAAGACCTATACTCTGTCCTCTTGCCAGCAATCTCTAAAAAAGTGTCACGAAGTCAACATGATTCCGAAAACAAATTAATGCTTCTTCTTCTACAACAGCCTAGGTCCACTACCAAAGCTAGCTTAGCTTACAGATTCTAATATATAGATTTAGCCAGGGCTAAAAGCGAAGCTCCCATTGATAAATTTATAATATAAATCAAACAATAAACTTGTAATCCACAAATCAGTTAACTTTAAGGGAAAGCTAAGGCTAAGTGATTTTAGAGTGAAAAAAAAATCTTACATCGAATTGATAGCCGTATATATACACCCAAAAAATAGCAATCATCTTCGATCACATTTTAGAGTCATAATGGCTCTTGATCACAGTAGATTAGGCCTGGAAAACGAATTTTTGGAAAACAAATCAGGCCGAATTTTTTGCTTTCGACAAGTTTACTTAACAAAAACTTGCCAACAACTCTGGGAGCGTGTAAACCAACATTTCATACTTTTTATACATCACATCTGAAACAGTGATATGAGGCGTTGTTTTTATCATATAGACCTCAGACAAAATGCAGTATTTCACAATTTTTCAAGACAAATTGCACTCATTCAATATTCAGAACCGTACGAAGCACTCGTGGGCTTTTAGCAAAACGGTTCAAAAAATTTCCAAAATCATTTATACGGCCAGCCGGTTCTCACTTTTGACAAGCGCCAAATTTTCAGTGAACATTAAACGAGTTACGCTTCAACATAATAAAGAATTTATTGTGTTAATTTTTTTATTAAATGGTTTTATAACGATGCGCAATCTTAAAAAGCGTTTGATACGAGCAGCATTTTGAGTACTCCTGCAAGCGTTGTTTATGAACGACTGAAAACAAACTGCAAAGCGATTAAAAGGGACTTTAAGATAGGTGACTACGGTCGCCTGGGACGGTTAGATAGATGTCACGTCACGCAAAACACGCGTGACCTTTTACCGTCGTCCTTCTGGGACGGTATGTTTTCGCCGGGTTTCTCGTCGTGAAGACAACGGTGAAACCGATAAGAGTTCATGCATACTTAATGTCACTTTTCTTTTAAAACTGAGTAGGCAATGGGTTAAATATGCGTTAGCTTGTGTTTACATTGATTTACCTATCGGTGAAATGAAAAAAAAAGCGAAAATGTCTGAGTTCATTCATAACTTAGCTCGCGGCCGCATGGCGACTGCTTGTTTTCTACCTAGTGTCGTCCACCATGGCAGAGGAAAATTGCCGAAAAGAAAGGTAAGGCCCAGTTCAAACGTTAATCTTTTCATGTACCGAATTTAATACCTATTTAGGTCGACCCAAATGGTTCGAGGTTGATTCAGGCGTCGAACTTAAAGTGTAGTCGAACTCGATTCATTTTCACGATGTTCAATGGTCTAGAATGCTTTAAACAAGTGAAAATAAATTTTAGTAATTTGTGCTTTAGTTTCGGCACATGAGAAGTTCGACGTTTCAACTGGGCCTAAAAGTGATGATTGTAGCAATCTTTTTTATAACTTAAAACTGTATTTTTGTCAAGAAAAGGTTTCTTTATAACTCAAAAGGTGTTGGCTTAGGAAAGGAAAGTTCAAATAAAAACATCGACTACAGTTTTGAAAACTAGCTAGCTTTAATTTGTACCCTTATTCCTCTGATTGGTATTCTTCGTATAAAATAAGAAACGCTTCTTCAGTAATTGAGCCTTCTGCGAAAGAAATGTCAACCGAGTTTCGCACATGACTTCACCGTCCTCTGTTTTGTTGTCCGATCTTAAATTGAAAATTTTCGCGGCTTCTTACCGTCATGGCCCCAGGCCGCCCGTATACGCATCCAACCGTCCCAGCCTACCGTAGTGACCTATCTTAAAGTCCCTAAAATTGTAAGAGACTACTAACAATCAATAAAAGAAATGTAATTCGGTGAAACATTTACAGAGACAACAATTTTCATTCACGAAGACAAGTATTAAAGCGTCTCTAAAAACTGAGTCTTTAAGCTTAAGCTTAAAGCTTTTAGCCGGCTTCCTGGTGTTTACTGTTTTCAAAGATGAACTCGAGGCAAGAAAACCGCTCAAAGCTTTCTTTCTACAGCCAAAATTATAACTAAATACTTTTCGGAAAGTTTTTTCGTTCTATATGCGGAGAGAAAATATCGACTAAAGGCTTTTTAAAGTTCTGTAAGCTTATATATACTAGATCAGATCATTGTCTCAGATCTTAACACAAACGTGCATAAATTAGCCTGATAAACTGCGCTCGACTTCATGAAATTAGATATAAAAAAACAAACATACACTGTATACAATAATTACTTAGGCTTACCATTCGAGATGCAGCTCTTGAAAGCTATAAAGTAAGGCCAGAATCGCTTGAGGGACTTTTCAACCCGCATCCAGCACGGTAAAAACGAAAGCGATGCATCCGAAATCGGATTTCCAACTTTGGCAACCGGCGCATTTCCCGACCAAAAATTCAATAAACAAACCAGCCATGAATCAAAGAAGACTGTTGATAGCAGCTGTATTTCATTTTAAGCATCCAGTGGAAAAAGACAGTGAAAAACGTCACAAGTTGACAAAATACTCTGTCAGCTTCAGCTGTCAAACTCAAAGTAAACAAGGTTCAAGATGCTGTATAAATTTTCTGCATGAACTCACCTGTCAAATTTTGACCAATCAGAGCATAAAAATTGGACGGTCGTAGAGCGTGATCAACGCGTGTCTATGGTGAGAAAAGTGAAAAGCCTCTGTCTTCCCTGCTTGTATTTTTAAATGACTGGCTGAATTTTCGAGTCCGAGATCAGTTTGAAATCAAAATGTTAATAGCGCGGGGCCATAGTGACATTAACACAACACTTTCTGTCATCATGTCATTATTTTGCTGCCGTTCTCTTTGCCTTTGTATTTCTCTTTCGCGTTGCCTTTGTCTGTTCATTCTAGCTCTGTCTCGTTCTACTTGCCGGCGTTTTTCACTATAATTTTCTCTCCTTCTTCTCGCTCTGACTCTTTCTACTTGCTTTCTTTTTTTCAAAACCAGTTGCGCGATATAATTGCGCGACGTTGCGCCATGCGATTTCCCGCCAAAAAAATCTGTACTTTCCCTACCCCAAGAGGCCATGCGGACTACTTTCCACTACCCGGAAAGTCCGTACGGACGGACGTACGCTACGTCATAACCAAATTTTCTGGGATGGATAGTTTACCAAATTTTCTTACCCATGGTGCTCCGCTGCGCGCGCGCGAAGCGCGCGCGGGAGCTCCGCTAAAAACAAACTCGGTAAATGGTTTTAACCCAGGAGTCATGTCATAAGTAAGTGGAATGTAATCGTCTGGGTGAGTGTAGTTCTGAATAGGACTGCTTTTAAAAGTGACTGACATTTCGACAGCCTGTGCGGTAGTCATATTCAAGGTCAAAGTGAGTTGCATCACGTCAATGGTATAAAACCCTCAGTATTGACCTGAATGGTCAATTAATTCGCTTTGTTATTGATCGTCTGTCAGTTAAGCCATAGTGTTATTGGCATGATGAAGACTCGAAATGTGAGTGGTGAGTTTTGATCCGCCTTTGTCAAATTGATACTGAACACTCTATTTATTGTTAGTCAAATTGTTGGGTTTTTCAGTCACTTTATTGTTGTCAGTTTTGCTTGATTCCGTCAATACAATGGAAAGGATTAAATTAACTGCAAAAGCCGTGGACGAAGATCCTGCTAGTTGTAAACGTTGGATCTCTAGAAAAGAGATTAAATCAGCCAAAATATAAAAACCAAGAACGAGAAGTCCAAAGACTACTGCAAAGCTGATTTAAGACAACGTGTATTGTTTTTTATAACAATATTTCGGCTGGCCATACCAGCCTTCTTCAGGTTTACAGATGTTACTGAAGTTATGTAGCAATCGGAATATTATATAGATGGAGAATTTCGCAATAAAAGGGAGAGGCGGAAATGATGTACGTCATTTCATCATAATATTGCGACTGCTACATAAGTTCAGTAACATCTGTAAACCTGAAGAAGGCTGGTATGGCCAGCCGAAATATTGCTATAAAAAACAATACACGAATACAATGTAAGTCGTTTGCACGGTTCGGCTAACTCCAAGGGGGGGCATAGTTTTCAGGCAGTTTACTCTAGGATAGGGTATATAAATCAGAACATTTGGGTCTAGATTAGGGTATCATTTTTCAGGAAACTATTCAGTTGGTTGAAGATTTTATCTAGACTAGGGAAACAGCTACTCTAGGATAGGGGGGATTTGGAGAGTTTATTCTAGTATAGGGTAGCAAAATTTAGCTGAACTAGCTCTGGTATAGGTTAAGGGTTCCAGGGTCTCAGCGGCACATCCCCACCCAGAAATTCCTAAAGTACCCCCCCGGGGGCTAAGTGCCGAATTCGATTCAGGAGCGTTTGTTCTAAGTTAGTAAACCAGCTTTCTAAAGTAAGCCGCAGGGTGGTAGCCTTTAGAAAAGGCAATGCATTTCGCTAAGTCTCCGTCGATGTGGTGGTTTGTCTATACATGGTGTTCAGCAAAGTGATTGATGACATCAACATTACTTGTCGCTCGTGTAGGTTCAGCCAGTGGCCTGCTAAGGTTTCTATCGGTCTCAAAATTGTTAGTGGCCTGGCAGTCTCAGCATTTGCTCTTGCACACTGCCCTCTGTCTGTCTTCCGGTCTGTCTTTATCATTGACATTCGTAAGCAGTCGCCGTAAACTGGTTATCGGTTTGTTTGAAACAGGTGTGCTATAACGTTATATTAGGGTGAGATAGTATTGCATTGTACACCTTATGACTATACAATTATACACTGGTACGTTCCTGTTCAACTTGTTCTCACCTTTTCTGCAAGATGCTCTTCCCGGATACGCAGCAATTCTTCTCTTGCTTCTGCCAGTGTTCTTTCTTTACCTCTTTGCTCAATTTCCTCTCGTTTTCTCATCTGGTTTCGCTCCGCTTCCCACTTTTCCTGCCTTGCATCTTCGTCTTTATGCCACGTTTCCTTGAGGGCTGTAGCTGCTTCCCTGAACTCACTTCCAAGATCTTCAATTAATTCTCAGATAGGTATATAACTTGTGACAGGACCACGGTCAATCAAAGCCCAAGTGGAGCTGTAGGAGAGTAACTTTTGGAAAGTAGCCGGATTTGTTGCTAGGGGTCCTATAGACCTTACAGAATGGGAAAACCTCTCATTCTGGATGGCTGTAAATGTCTCTTCAATGTTTTCTTCACTGTTTGCGTGCTCTTCAGTACCACTGGCTCCAATCCTCAGTGCTCCGCCAAGAAATGCAACGGCAGCCTCTGTCAGCTTAAATATATCTGTGGGCTTGAATATATCTGTGGTGCTTTTACTTTCGGCATCGGCAATATTAAAAAACACGCCGCCCAGAGTGTGCAGCCCAGCTGGAAAATGGCTTCCGTAGCGTTCCATAAAGGTGCGAGCAGATTGTTCACACTCCATTGCTCTGGGGTTTTTATCCAGGACAATCGACTTGGCCTTTTTCTTAGCAGTCAAGGAAAGGCGAAACTGGTGTGGCTCGATTTGGAAAACTTTTTTGGCTATGCGAATGTACTGTAGAGCAGATGCACTGGTGCTGGAAGGTTTTTCACACTGAGAAACGAGACTGTTGTCCTCATGGCTGTTTTCATTTGGCACCTCCCCAACGAAAAACTCTTCGAAACCAGCCACACCAAAACCAATGTTGGTGCTTGTTGACTCAACTGCCCGTACGTAGTCTATAGCTATTCCCTTTGCAGAGAATTTGAAGTAATTTACTTCTTGAGCACTGTTAGGATTGTTTAAGGTCACAGTCATTGGCACCAGAAGCAAAGGAATTCCAGCTGGCTTTGGAGACTCGTATTTGGAGTAATAAATTCCACAAAGGGCTCTCCCAGCGCTGGCCCTACTAACAATTTCCACTTCACTTTTGTATGCGTCAGCAGATTCTAAAACATCGCTGCACTGCTTAATGATTTTATCCAGATACTGAAACAATACCGCTGGTTTTACTTCATCCTCCCTTAGCCAATCTATAGGAAGCTCTAGAGTGCTCATGATCAAAGCCAGTGTTTCGTTTAATGTTTTCTTTGATGACTCTGATTGATCTTTAGCAATAGCTTTTGCTTCGTTCAGTAACTCTTTGGCTTTCTTCAGCGTTTTCAATTCTGCCGCTTTTGTTTCCATGGCTTGTTGAATAAGTTTGTCGTCATTTGGTATGGTAGCGAGTAGATTCTTGGTTGATTCTGCTTCCTCTACAAGTTGATAAACCTTCTTCATTTCTCCTTCATCGGCTCCACGGCAGCAGTCCTCCAGCTCTTGCAATCTCAGCCTTGTAAGTTCCTGAAGAGACGAAACTCTCTTACAGAGGTTCTTCGCCCATTCTTTTGTGACATCAATAGCTTTAGTACTAAGTCCGTTAATTACTTCATCGTCAGAGCTCTTCTTTGCCATATTGCGAATCTTCAATGAAAATGAAATGTTGGTTTTAATCAGTTGGAGTAATGACTTAATTTTTCTATTAACAGAAAAAAAAAACTGAGACTGAAACAAGTTAAAGCTTTAGAGCATTGGTTGAACCGAAATGACGATTAACCAAAGATATTATCGCCGCTGTGGTTATTTCAAACAAATCCTTTTCATAACGGTTAACATTTACATAACAGGGTTCTATCTAGGATATTTGAGGGGTAGAAGCTTCCCCCCAAAATGCCCAGTTTCCCCCCAAAAATGTTGTTATCATTACAGTATATAAGTAACTATGTCAGAAAAATCATCCAGACGTGACGAGGTCAATGCAGATGAAGTAAGTATTCCCTGTTGAAGGACACTATACGACAAGGAACATGGAGTATTTTTATTTTAAAATAAAATACCACCGTACCATTTCTCAAAATTGTGTCCCACAATGCACCAGATTGCATCTCAACACAAATTCATTTCCAAAAATTTCCGGGAGGCGTCATGCCCATGGACCCCCCTAGGAAACTCGTGGCCAAGGCCACTAGTTACTTCTCCCCCAAACGATAAATCCTAGATAGAACCCTGCATAACTGCTCTCGATGGTTGATGAAACAGCACGGTCTACTTTATATAGAGGAGCAAATCCAGGACATACACAAAACACGTGAAATTAAGTGAAATTGTATGTGTGGTGGCCTTGTGCTATTTTAATTTGTAGCGAAAATTGCGAGGACAGTTGCCTCTTACTTTACTTTCTAGGTGAACTTGTTTCTTTTTAAAATTATTAACCTCATCAACCGCTCCGTTTTGAGCCTCCTACGTAGAATTGATGGTACCTCTAGAAGAGTTAGTAACAATACAAGTTCCGCCATTAAAGTGTAATAATAATACTGGCAAAATATATATTTACCAGCTTTTTATCCGCAGGAATAATAAGGACGTGAATGAATGCATAGATGCACAAATAGATAAATAGATAGATAGATACCTTATTTAGCACAGAATTAAAAAAAAAAAACACTTATTTCCAATACAGCTGTATATCAAAAGTTAAAATTATAGAAAAATAGTACAATTAAAACAAATTCTAATTACAAAAGTTGAAGATAATAACAACTAGAAAAATTAAGTAAGGCTAATGATAAATAGGTTTCAGTAAAATTCAAAAGGAATTGGACTAAAATCTACACATATCGGACCAAAAGCTGGAATCAAATGATCTAACTGAGCTAGTCTCTTATACGGTTTGGCACTTCCGTTATAAATCGTTAAAGTCATGAAATATCGATAATATCGAATTGGCACAGTAATTCTTTTTATCGATTTTCACCTATTTCCCTTATCAATCGATAAAAAGCACTTGATACGTTTTGTTCGGAATATTTGCTGAATCTAACACTTAATCCGCAAACACCTTCCAAATATGCTAACAGGACTGAAGCAGCTTTTTGCTTCATTCAATGTTATTCACGACAAAGTTCTTATTTATCAAACAGGAAAGATGTCAAACTGCGAAAAGAATGACCCAAGCTCTTCAAACGCACGGTAAGGGAATAAATAAAAAGGGAAATTGGCGTTTTAAGGTCTATTCAGACACCAAGAGAGATAAACTGTAAAAGAAACTAGTCCTCTTCATTCAAAGACTCTAAGTTTTTATCCACTCATTGGCTATAAATCAGTTTTTAATAGTAAACAAAATGTTCTTTCAACGCTTTCGAGTAGTCACAAGATGCAGCACAAGCTATGCAAAGATTCAGTCAGATATACTGAAATATTTTGTCAATTGAATACTCGTGTCTAAGTTTGATATTTCAGTCCTTTAAAATATACTGTCTTCGATTAGATATCGACTGCTATTTCAGGAACTCGGCGATGAAATGGACAACAGAACACGATGTCTTGTTGTGAAAAGAGGTTATGTTGTTCGAACCGTGGAAATACAAATTAGGAAGCCGTGAAAGAGGAAATTGCGTCGACCGGATTGCTGAAAGCCTGAATCAGTGCATCAATGTGTCACAAAAGTCGATCAGAGACAGACTAGTCGGAGAAAATTCCGATGAAACAGTTGAAGAAAAAGCTTCCGCCGAAGAAATGCGAATCAAAGCCATGGAACGTCTTGGTGAGACAAAGAAAAGAGCAGCAGATCATCAACCGCGGAAGAAAAGAAAACATACACGGAGAAGGAATGTGAGCTGAAGAAGAAAGAACTAGAGTTTAGAAACAAACAAGAAGAAAGGGCATCGGCACAACAAAACCGGATGTTTCAACAACAGCAAGAAATGTCCAGGCAATTTCAAGACCAGTTGAAAAATCAACAACAGCAGTTCCGGATGATGTGTCAGATGTTTACTACTGATCAAAAACTTCTGGCAGTTCCGAAGTCAAGACTTAAAACATACGGAGACAGGGCCTTTTCCGTTGCTGCACCTAAACTCTGGAATGAGCTGCCATTAGATCTTAGAAGTTTAGTTACAATTAATTTATTCAAGAAACACTTAAAGACTGATCTTTCTAAAAAAGCATATAATGTTTAACTTTTTGATAATTTAGAATTGGATTTATTGTGATATTTTTATAAATAACACTGCTAATAGGTTTTTAATTTATTCATATTTTATTACCAGTGGGATCTTTTTAATTATTTTAATATTATGAATTGTAAAGCGCTTTGGTCAATTAGTGGAGTTAGCGCTATATAAATTATGTTATTATTATTATTATTTAATATGCAGGAACAACAATAACAAAGCCAAGCACTACTTGAACTCTTGAAAAAGGGACATTGAATTCACTAAGTTGATTTTGTTATTGTTTTTATTATACATACAAAGCTAGATTTTCGCTTTGCCGCCTAAGTTTAACCTATTTAACTTCTACGAGTATTACAAAAATTGTGCAAGCTTGCTTTTGGTAATGTGGTTTTTTACCATCTCTACTGGAATTTTTACACAGCCGTTATTCAACAATGCTTTGGTTCTAATAACGTTTTATTTTGAAGATGTATCCTGATGTATGTCCTTGCTTGTGTAATCCCTTTAACGTTTTATCGTTGCTAATAATTAAATAAAATAATCATCTAAAGTTGGTGGATTGATACCAAAGTACTCTGTGGTAACAGACCCATATAAAATAGTGTGGGCGTTTTCCATCAAGGCACAAACTATGTACATTTTACCCACGGCACTTAAACCAACTTTAAGATTCTTTTTAAAATTCAAAAATTTGACACAGTTGATTATATCATTTAAAACCCATTCAACTGAAACACGGGCACTGCTCATAGATTTGTCGAATTCTTGATGTAGTGTCAACACTGCTCCCTTAAAAGGTCCCTGTAAGTGTGCTCTAAGAGGGTATGCCGGGTCACCGTACACACAGATAGGTAAAACAGTAACTGGTGAATTAGAAAATTTTTGCAGGTCTTGTAAAAGTCCAGAAGAGGCCAGCATACCACTGTCGTGACGTTTTCCTTCTACTCGACCATATAAATGATCAACCAGCCCATTAGGCAACGCCACTGATTGGAATTTTATGGAATGTACTCTTTTATGCCCATTATGAATGGCTCTCTGATTTTCTCCTGGCCTACACACTGGCCGCACTGTTCTATCAATAAACCCCCAGCAGTTTTCCAAAGCTTCGCCTGATCGATATATCGCATCAGGATGCCACATAAGATTTGCCGGGGAAAGCAGGTCATGATTGTACCTTGAGAGTAAGTGATGCCAACAGTTATAGATCCAGTCAATCATGTGGTTTGTAATAATAGAAAGTTCCGAAAGAGGTCTAGCAAAGTGAGAAACCGTGTCCCCGTAACTGCAAGGATATGGAAAGCGCTTGAGATAGATACATAAAGTAGGAATCGATCCAACTACTCGGCCGTTGTAAGTAACATTTTCATCTGGTAACTGAAGATATTCAGCAAGCTTGAAAGTGTCATTTTTGTAAAATCGGAATTCAGCTTTGCACTGGTCATTTCCCAGCTCGTCTAAATCAAATCGATCAAAATTCCAGTATGGAAAGTCCAGGGTTTTTTTATATATTGGCATCGTACAGCAAAACAAACTGCCTGTCGTTGATAATCCTTTTCTGTAGGCATATGCGATACACTCTCTCTTCTCTCTGAAGTTCGGCATTTTAATCAACACGTTGATAAAACAATTCTAAATAAAAAAAGTCAGTCTGCGACTTAAATTTGGCGGGAAATCTCTGCGTCCGGCGTTCGCAACTCGTAATCTAAATTTGGCGCGCAATGGCAAACGGCGACGACAAAGTCGATGACGTCACCTAAAGTCGTCGTCGAGAGAGAAGTCATCGATTCGTAAGCTCCCTACTAGTAATAGTTGACACTACAGCTGACCCCGCTGTGTATATTGTCCGTCAATAGTATTCTTGGTCGTTGTGTAGCTCTTTGAAATATACCGATTTATAATGAAGATTTTCACACATATTCCATACAGTAGGTGAGAGTAAAAACAGGAAACGCAAGGTTCCATGCACTGTTTTAGTTTGATTTTCACAGCTTTGATCTGAAAACATTCTCAGTTTCGGGAATAATTTATTCTAAACCATAAGCAAAGATTTAATTAGAAGTTGAATTTTTAGCTATTTTTCTTTTCCTTTTTACATACAGTTTATTTTATTTGCCGAAAAGTAAGCCTTGGAAATTAAAAGAACGTTTGATCAATTCACGTTCGCGCATCCTAGTCTTTTTTTAAACTTTATAGGAGAAGGAAATCTGTGAGCAGGGAATGAGTCAGCACAGGATTTGATTGTCGGCGAATTTCTGTAATCGTCCATCGTTCGCCTAGTGATAAGGTAGCCGTTAATTCACTCGTCTTGCTTGTTTTATTCGCCCAAGGGGAAAGAGAAAGAGTGTCCGGCAAGGTTTCCAATCAAAGATTTGTGAACTCGTGCCTGGCAAACTCTCCTGGTGTTTATATTTACAGAGTTGTACGCACCTTCAACTTCATCTGCGCTTAACGAGTGTC